CACACACACTGACAGGGTTGTTGCAGTATGTGTTTTTGCTGCCTGTTGCAGCGCGGAAACGCATAATTAATGATATTACTGAAATGGCAGGAGTGAGTACTGGAACTGAGTCTGTGAGCACACAGACCACAAGCCTGCTACATTGAATTGTTGCAAGTTTTTTGTCCGCAACGAAGGGGACCCTATTACTGCAGTACTTCTCGGACCGTATAATTAGCCACATGGACACATCTGGACAACATCTGCCGCTATATGGAATTACTTGAGCCACGGTGAAGTGGCAGTGCCTTGAACGGTGGTTGTAAATTTCACCGGGAATTAGCTGGGCGAGGTTATGTGGGTGTAAGGTACTGTTTTATGCAGTTACGCACCGACAAGGGAAGCCATTCTTACGATTCTCCCTGGTATTTAGAAAAAATTCGATTTTTCATTTTTAATATCTACTTTTTAAATAACGCTTGCAATTCTGCTTAAACCTAATAAGCAACATATCTCAGCAAGTAGGATCCCTTCATTTGTTTTAAATTAAAATCAAGCTTTTATCTGTTCTTACTTTCTACGATTTGGAATTAGCCTGAGGCAAATGCCAGCAGCAACCACCCGCCGACAAGGCTGTCGATTGCTCTCTCTTTCAAGACTTAATTAGAGGTATCCGCGTAGCAACTTTTATGCATTTTTGTTTTGGATGCTGAAAAATATAATTAAATCCAGCAGAATATAATTAAGCCAGTAGAGAGAAAAGGTTCTCTTGTCGACAGTATGTAAATGCTAAAAGAGCTCATTGTGTGAGTGGGGCCATATGTGAAAATGACCCCCAACAGCTTGTCGGTGACCTTTTTTGTGATGATTGCGCTTTGGACAAAGCTTTTGTGTGTACCGGATTAATCTGCTTCTTTTTTGCTGCCTGCTATTGATGTAGTATTATGTTAAGGGATTCACACACGATCCTGAAGATTGCACGCTTCGGTTACGAGGGAATTGACTTTTCACTCGCTGCATTTCCAGGGCACGCACCAGTTATTTCACTGAACAATCCGCCGTTTGGGAGGAGGCGAGGAGGTCGGGTGACTAAGGGTAAAATCTGATTGCAATTGCAAGGTCAATTGTAGGAGCAAAAAACTGCCCATTACATATTACGAAGTTTCCAGAAATGCGAAAATAGGTAGTTGTTTGGATGAGCTTCCCGACAAGGTCGTACCAATGACAAAAAAAAGGCTGTAATTTTGAGGGGACAAACGGCAAGATGTTAGAAAGCTAACAGAGGGTATCCCTGCATTTCAAAGTGAAGAGTGAGTTAGATAAAAAATGCGTTTTTTGAATTTTTTACTTCTATGTGGTTTTATTTATGCATAGCTAATTGATTCATAGGTGCCTGGTTTCAGAGGAACGTTTTCTGGGATTTCGTTTTACGGAAGAGCCCGCAAATGCGGTGGCGAAAGCTGGACGAGTACAACTGGACTGCCGATATGCGTTGTCCACGAACAATGTCCCAACACGTATCGAATGGCGAAAAGATGGAGCCGAGCTGAGTACGGTACGATCAACCGGAAAAGTGTGAGTTCTGGCGGATCATTTGCACAAAGCTACACGAATTTTCAGCGAGAATAATAACAGCAAGATGAAAAGACACAACAGATTAGCGTGTTTCTTGGAGAAATAAACGCCGGTATTGCTGGATTTAAGTGGATCGAAGTATATCCCTGCAAGGAGGATGTTGTTTACATAGGCATTTGAAGTGTTTCTTGGATTTACAGGCAATATTGCGCCTCACCACTGCCAAATCAGTGCGTGCTGTTGACTTTAGGCACTGGAGGAAATTAGAGCACGAGATGGGATCAGTGTGCACACACACACACACACACACACGCTGTGATGAGATTTTGAGGTCCTCATAATCCTCTTACACCAAAATGCATGTTATTGTTTTGTGCCATCTCGCATCATTCCACATTCTTCAGCTTTATAGAAAATCTCTTTGTGGAAATCAACTGCCCACTTATGGACGAATTCGGTTCCTTTGAAGGGATTGGCCTCTTCTTGATTGCATCCTCATGTCGAGTAATTGACGTATTTGTTAAAGTGGATTTTTTCAATACTTAGGAATATAGCACAGGATTCAGATTCTGCGAAATGACTGTATATTATCTTATAATTTTTTTCGTTTGATTTCACCAAATCAGTTTACATTTCTCTTTTCCGCGCAGATTTCCAGACGCTGTTTTTTCTGAGCTAGACATATTTTCGTTTACTTCGATCATAACTTAACCCCTCGTAATAATATCTACTCGCTGCAGCCTTACTACTAGTATTCTGTGCCGTAGTAGTGGGCTTGTATATGAATTTTGTCCTCCGTTTTCGTTTGATTTTCATTTGGGGATATGGCAAAATGAATTGTCCATTACCAATATTTCATTCAACAAAATTCGATGGAATTTTACGCATGGAGTGAAAAAGTCGGTCACTGATCGGTCGAAATAGGAATTGACTTCGAAAAAAAAGGAAAAATCCATTCAGTAAAGCAAGTGAATTGGAGCCTTTATAATTTACTAGAATTTGGTATGCGGCGGCTGAGTGGTGGAATGTAGCAAGAGGGATTTAGCCGAATGGCGGGGGGTTAGGAATCAAAGGGATGATGGGTCGCTGGGGATTTATAAATGGACACATAAAGTAAGCTT